CGCCGTTGGACCAGTACGGTAGGTGCGGCGCGGACCAGGGGAAACAGCTCCTTTGAGGGGGGATTGAGGGGTTGAGGGGCCAGTAGAGGGTTTGGGTGCGCGTCCGGGAATTGATGGACGTAATGCTTGGATTCCTTGCAACGGGCTCAGAGGAATGGGGTACCGTACCGTCATTGGTGTCTCGGCCCTAGAGGAGCTCATGGGGGTTTGTGCTCGAGAGTTTCTTCCACGATCGCCACTCCAATCGCCATATACCGCTTCGAGGAATGTCTGCGCAGTGAACAACTGGGCTTCCGAGGCATCTGATGCGGCTACTGAGGACAGGAGGACAGGGCTAATGGAGTTGTCCGGTGGTTTGATTGTTGATTCCAGGGACCGGAAGATAACGTCGAAGCTCATTTGTGTAAGACCTCTCTGTGTCTTTGAGCCGAGAATAGTGTGACTCTGTCCGCAAAAGCCGTTAGTATCTTTCTTTCCAGTCAATCACATACAGTCTTTATCGTCTTTATCGTCTTTATCGTCCGCACCTTTCCACTCCCTGTCACGCCCAGTGTGGCAACCAACCCATCTCTACCTTCAAGCAGTACGCCTCTGACCAACGATTCCAGCCCAGTATCCTCAAAGACAGTCAGTTGGGAAGCCGACTCGTCGAAAACCTTGGTGAAGCCGAATTTCTCGACCGCACGCTTCCTGGCATCATTTGGTGGCTGTAGTATAATATGTGTTGGAATAGGAGCCGATGGCGCTCCATCGCTCTCAGCATTGTTGTTCTCCTCTGGGGACTCAATCACGAGACAACGTTCAGCATAAGGATCCTGGTGCTGCGAAACGGGAGGGCGAAGTCGCAGATAAACCTGGAAAAGGGAGGCTTGTGAAGGTCTTGATGTCGTACTCATGATGGCGATACCTGTAGGTGTTGGTCGGATGCCTTCAAGTGAGATGAGGTCGAGAACCAAAGCAAAAGCCAAAAGAGTGACGATTTCATGGCAGCGGCTCTGGATGGTTTCCACAGTTGAAAGGGACGATATTATTCTTTCCTCATCGGGTTAGGATTTGGTTGTCCAGACAACATATCCTAAAATGGAAGTCGCTCGTAGATGCCATCTTCTTCAGGCTGCCACGTTGACATGCATCTCTGTCTGGTCGCAGCAGTACCTAAATACCTAACATTCCCAAGTGTCCCTCCAGTTCATCGATCCGTCAGAGCAATTAAGACCATGAAGGTCAGTCTGTCCACTGCTTACAGCCTTACTTCCCCGGTTCGCGAATCGAGATGTCTTTGACCCTTCAGCCTTCCTAGGCTGGCTGGCCGTTGGGTTCGAGGCTTGGCTTTACAATCCTCAGCCCCGCTCGTACTCGCCTAACTTCGAATCAGCATCGAGCTTGGTTGAAGCACCATCGGAACATTGGATCAAGAAGCAGCCCAAGCATGAGACTATCCCAAATTGGCTGCTCGTATTCTACGCCATGGTCATTCGTTCTTGGCAGCTAGTGCTTCTACTCCTGGGATCTGTCTTATACGAGAAAATGGTTATAAGCCACAAATCAGGGCATCGGGCAAGACTGCGCCTCGACCCAGCTGAACCAGAAACGTCATTTCTGTCTAAATGCTGTAGCTTATTTGCCTTTATCGGATAAGCTGCTACACCTGTTTGGGCACCTCGTTTTCGCCAAAGTGCCCTGGGCTGCGATGATATAAATGCGAGATCATGAGGGCTGCGCATATATAAAGGGCCCCTATGGTCCATATCGCAGGTTCAATATCCTAGACGACATCGTGATAATCCAAGGCTGCTGCAAGTCAAGTTATCAAATTTCCCTTACTGCTGCCTTCTACCAAATCCTATCGGAAAAGAGTGCCTCCTGATACAGCATCATCATGCTAGAAGCGAGATCACCATACCGTAAGTCCAGTTCGACCCCTCGTCAATATGGCCACCACCATCTCTTAACATTATGTAGAAGAAGGAAGCTACTGGTATTATGCACCAAATAAAGGTGCTCCTATTGCCTTCGCATTGCTTTTTGCTGCGTCCGGTCTCACGCATATCTACCAGTGTTGGTATGACATAGCTGCCTCCAAGATGAAATGACAAGCACTGATTTCTGGGCCACAGCAAATACAAATCGTGGAAGGTGACAGGCTTGCTGCCATGGTCCGCTACACTCTTCACAGCAGGGTTCATAATGCGGACGATTGGCGCTTTCGGTCAATGGGACGATTTAGGCATATTCATCGCGAGTAATGTTCTCTTGCTGGTGGGACCGTAAGCTTCCCTTTCATTGTTCATTGTTCTCGCTCGCGATGTCTGACTTTTTATAGTCCTGTCTACGAAGGAGCCAACTTCTTCACCCTGGGCCGCCTTCTTTACTATGTCCCCTACCACTCGCCAATTCATCCCGGCCGAGTATTTTCAACATTTGTTGCCTTGGGTATCGCGATCGAGGTGATTACAGCGAATGGGGCTTCTCTGGTGGCCAATACAGACAATAGTATCAGCAAGCAGAATACTGGCAAAGCGCTACTCAAAGCTGCACTAATTTTGCAGATTGCCTTGATGGTGGGATTTGTCGCCCTTGCAGGCAAATTCTACCTCAATTGTCGCCGTGGAGGTGTCTTGAGCAACAAGGTCAAACGTCCCTTGTATGTTCTATTATGCAGCTGTACACTTATCACGGTGCGAACCATCTACCGAACGGTCGAGTACTTCACCGCTGCGAGCCTCAACATTCACAACGTCTCAGATTTGAGTCCCATTCTGAAAGACGAATGGTTCTTCTGGGTTTTTGAGACAGCCGTCATGTTCACAAATTCCACTTTACTCAATGTCTTGCATCCCATGCAATGGCTCCCACGCTCGAACAAGATCTATCTCGCAAAGGACGGTGTCACAGAGATTGAAGGCCCGGGATTCGAAGACGGTCGACCATTCCTACAGACCCTCATTGATCCTTTTGACGTGGTCGGCCTCATCGCAAATAAAGGAAGGAAGGAGAAGTACTGGGACGCTCTCGATGCGAACGAGAAAAGGCCATCCCCTGCTCAAGTGTGAGGCTTTCACTCTCTCTTCTCTTTGCCTCTTTTACCCATTCTTTTCATCTCTCTTTTGTAATTATTTGTTCTTTTTGTGTAGTACGTTGCACATTTGTTCATTATATTTTTATGTCTCAAGGTCAGCTGTTTGTCTAGACTATATATTGGGTGGAGTATACCTCTCTATAGATCGCATGCTTTCACAATTTATTCCAAGAATCTTACTATTCGCAAGTTGAAGTATCAGAGCATCATCGAATTTCAATTTAGATAAAAGGGAAATAATATACCGACTAATTTGTTTCAACTAATGGGGATGGAATATTAATCAACCTGAAAGAAGCTGAGCTGAAGGACTGTTTATCGATAACGGTGTTCGATCTCCCGCAAAGCCAAGGTAGCTTCGAACCACATGGCCTTTAGCTCAGACAAACATTCACCGGTTTCGCTTCTCCCTTTGCAATACCAGCGGAGCAACTGTTAACGGTTGGTTGCCAGTAACCTATTGGTCTTGACGATAGTACCTGCGCTCTCACGAACATTTAATCTTATTACTGATATCCCGTGGCATTTAACACTGAGCTACCTAGCTTTGCCCTCCGCAGCATCTCCGAAACCTCTGCCAAGCTCACCCTTCCCTCACCATATACAACCGTCACGATGTTGTCTTTCCTATCGTCAAATCTGTCTAGCACGCGTCAATCTCTGGCGCAAGTCCTCAATTTTGCGCTGGTCCTATCCACAGCGTTCATGCTGTGGAAGGGCCTCTCCGTGTTCACGTCAGTACCAGCCTCGGAAGGACAGGTTTCAATAGACTAACCTTGAGTTCGAATATCTACAGAGCGAGCTCGTCACCCATCGTCGTCGTGCTCTCCGGATCCATGGAGCCAGCCTTCCAGAGAGGCGACCTGTTATTCTTGTGGAACCGCAGCCCGCGGGCAGAGCTAGGTGAAATCGTGGTCTACAACGTCCGAGGCAAGGATATCCCGATCGTGCATCGCGTCGTTAGAACGTTCCCTCAAATCGAAGGCAAAGCGAAGAAAGTCAAGGAGGTTACAGAGTGCGTTTTGTATTCTGCTTCGATCTGCTGCGAACAATTACTGACCAGGCGGATCTGTCATAGGGCCTCCTCCGTTCCTCCCAACATGCTTCTCACCAAGGGAGACAACAACATTGCCGATGATACTGAGTTGTATGCGAAAAACCAGGACTTTCTACATCGTGAGGAGGATATTGTTGGCAGCGTGCGGGGGTATATGCCCATGGTGGGATATGTGACTATTATGCTCAGTGAGCATCCGTGGCTCAAGACGGTCCTCCTTGGTATTATGGGTCTGATGGTCATACTGCAAAGGGAACAATAGTTTATGTTGGAGGTCTTTGAATAAATTGGAGTCTACTTTACTAAGGTGATTTTGGCTGAACTGGACTGCAGCTGGCATTCTGTGTTGATTCCTCCAATCCGAAAGTATGCGGCCGAACACTACACTGCCGTCATTTTGTAACGTGTCCCGTGCTGGGATTATTGTAAGAACAGCCAGTGATTAGACCATCTACTTCAATTGCATCTGTAGCTCGCAGCATAAACTGCTGTTGTTTCTCACCTGGCAAGCAATTCAATCAGGCACCGGTTCCTCAATAAAAGCATAAACAGAAGAATTACACTGGCAAAGTTGGAAATGATCCACCGCCTACTCTCCGGAACTGACTGTCGTCACTCAGGTCAAAGAACGCCAATGCTAAAATCCACCCCGCTTACCCGTCACGGCCCCGCCTTGTGAGCTAGTTGGGGGCTCAGGAGCTGTTACGCTGCACGCATATCACGGGCAGCATCTTCCTGGGTACTCATCGTTGCTATCTACAATAGGACGGGATCCTTACGCCACCTTTATAGCACTCTATTGTGTCTCCATCAAACCCAGGAACATCTCCACCGACCGTCCCAGTCTTGTGAAGAGTCGCGAACATGGGTAGCCAGAAGCGCATAGCTAAGGTAGGTCACTGGGATCAAGTCGCCTCGAATTCTCTAGTGTTCTACTTGCTTGCTAACGAGGTTAATGTGCTGCAGGAGCTTGCCGAGCTGATAGACAGTCCTCCCGCCGGCATCACCGTCGAGCTGGCGGATGAGTCGAACCTGTACGAATGGAAAGTCTACATGGAGGGGCCAGAAGGCTCGCCGTACCACGTAGGTTACTACGCGATGAATGTCGCTTCTGATCAAGATGCAGCGCTAACTGACCACGAAACCACAGAAAGGCAAATTCCAAGTCAAGCTCGTCCTTCCCACCGAGTATCCCTTCAAACCGCCGACAGTGTCGTTCGCGACGAAGATCTACCATCCGAATGTCACCAATGACGACAAGGGGAGTATGTGTCTAGGCATGCTACGGCCCGACGAATGGAAACCCAGCTCGCGGATCTCGGCTGTGCTGGAGTTCGCACGGCAGTTGCTCAAAGAGCCCATGCCGGACGATGCGGTTGAAGGACGGATCGCGGAGCAGTATAAGAATGATCCCAAACGGTACGAGGAGATTGCCCGGGAGTGGACGAGGAAGTATGCATCGGAGTAAAGGGCGTGGTTGGAAGGAGTGATGGCTGGTGCGCAGTCGTTGCGCGAGAACCAGGGACGCGGAAGAATCTTAGCGTCCTCCTGCATGCGAAAGTTTAAAGACTGGGTGTCTGTCCTATTGCCTGCGTGCCTCAGCACCCTGGTATCTCGACTGCGCTTGTCTTCTTACTGGCATTTTACGGTCGGGCTCGGTGGACGATGGACCCTTGGCGACCTTTCACTTTGCACTTATCTACCATCTTTCTCGGTCTGGGAGAGCACCCGGCGCGCGCTCAGACTATCCCTGCGTCGAAGGCCGGCGCTGCTACGTTTCGCATAAGCGTGTGAAGAGGATGAGTCATATTCTTTAGATACTTCAGCGCTAGAGAATACAGAAGTCAGTCATAGATGACCATGCAGGAAAAGCGCCTAATTTATGCATGCAGTCTCTGCGTAGCTTAAACCAGAGCCAGGACCAATTCCGACCAACATATTATCTCCAACACAGATGATACATTGGATACATTGTTGACAGAACACATGACTCAGTTGGCAGTATCGCCGTTTCGACTCCTCTATAAAAGAAACAAGTGATGCATTTCAAGGGGGTAGGTATAGAGGGCTTGAGCCTCTTACTTGGTCTCTAGATAGTTTCAACCCATCTGGCCAATACTCCGTAATGATGCATTGACAATGTGCTACAACCTACAGCCTACGGAGTACAGCTACAGCCTCCAGGGATAACCGGAACTGTTCAACGGGAGTAGCCGTAACCCGACGCAAGGTACATCACATTTGACGCCCGGAATTGAATTGGTCATAAGGCAACCGGATCAATTTCCACCGAGTGCCTACGTACTCCGTATTCGAGAGATGATCAAATCAAAAATAATGACTCCTTCCCTCCGACTTGGGTCGGTGGTAGATACGGAATAGGACATGGAAAAGACCCTTGGGTGGAGCACACCCATTCTACGGAGTCCCTTAGCGGACGATGAAACGCGAGGGAACGAATGAAGGGTTCTAGACTAGACTAGGCGATTTCCAAGACAAACCTCAGTGCCACACATTTAATCAAATAAAACAAGATACCGGAGGCGTCACGCGCAGTTCATCGTCATCACATCGTTTACTTTTACCCACGGTCTGTGGTTTGGGACATGTCGAGACTCGCTTCGAGTACTCTGTACTTGGTGAACGTAGAATAGAATGAGACGGGTAGGAAAGGTACTTTTGAAGGCCTCCTAGGTATGCTGTATGCATCCATGGATGTGATACCTCTAATCCAGTGTTAGTACTGCTGCAGAGCGCAGACGGAACGGAACGAAGGTCGAACCCATGGTTGGGAACTCCGTTGTTGTTGGTTGATTTAATCTGCAGAGTGCAGACTGCAGCAATACATGACTGGACCTGTTCGTGTAGCGTGATAGGTAGACCAGAGTCGAACCATAGCATGGAGTAGAAAGATGCCTGTCATGTCACCTGCATATGAGCTACTAATTGGATGCTGGATCTGTCATACTGCTGAACGACAGGGGTGAGGGGTAAAATATTGCATATGAATGGCTTTATTGATATAACTCGGACAACCCCTGCAGCCTTAGTACCTTAGCATAGGTACCTGTATCTATCCATCAATCTCTCCTTTGAATGATGAATAACTTCTGGTCCGGAGTACATTGGGCATTCGATAAAAACGTAGATAGAGTTCCCTGTATCTTTAGACTAATTTACGGCGCTTCCAACTTCCAAGGCCAAGACAAGGACGGAGTCTTGCCCGACCGACTGCCATCTGTTGATATCATCCGATCATCATCTCTTGTTAATTCGAAACAGCTCGGAAACCTTCATACTTCGTTACTCGGAAATGAAGATGCAAATCTAAACGAGGCTTACTGTCTTTTCCCTCCAACATTTTCTTAATTTCTTGCAGTGTCTGGTGGAGTAAGAGAAAACCGATTGATACAGCGCTAGACCCAAATGAGGCAGTTTTGGCCTCATTTTTCCCCTTTTCCGCATCATCTCAAAATTTATAAATCATAACACCAATACGGAGTACTAGTCGACTACCCACCTTACGAATGGGCTATGAACCTATGAGTACGTACCTTAGACTAAGTGTCACTAAGAAAAGCACAGGATCTCGTTTCTTTCGTCCCTTTCCAGCTTTCTTCTCGACCCCGATTCTCCATCCACAATACGGGATCCTTTTTCTTCCTGTCCTCTCCTGGAGATTGAGTCTTCAATTGAACCTCTGGTAGGGTCCTGTGACTTTTGCTTGTCCAATGGACTGATATCATCTGGCGTGGGTGCTGGGGCCTCTTCGATCCTCTCGTCTCTTGTTCCAATATTTTGACGCTCATTTGCTTGTCCCGTTCCGCCGTTATCGTTAGCTCGGGCTATACGACCTCTCAACGGAATACCAGACCACGTATCTGCGATCCTTTCGCTGGCTCTTCAAACTCTCGTTATTCTTAATTACGACTCTCTTTCCTCCTCTCCCCGAGACCCTCATATTCGTGTGACTGTCTGACCGTGGTATTGCACCCCGTTCGTCATCCATTGTGTTATCGACAAATGTCCAGCGGGAACTGGGTTCTATCTCGTGGCCATGGTCACAGAAAATGGAGAAGTTCAGTGGTCCTCCCGGCAAGGCGAACGTGAGACAGCCAGGAGTCGCAAAGTACCACCTCATCTGCGCCTCGATCCTCTAAGAATCCATCCTCCCGATCCTCGACCTTCCACTGCCGGCGCATCTCGATCTCCCTCCCCCCTCTTACCGCCGGCGCCGCATCCTCCCCGAAAAGCATCTGCATATCCTCATCCTGATGACCCTTTTCTCCGTGGCGCCTCTTCTCAAGTCAGGGGACCTGATGAATACGCGCTGAGAAAACCAACCTACCGCACTCCGACCTTCCCTCGTTCACCCTCCCCAAACTTTGCCCGACCAGAAGATGACTTTCAGCGTCCGTCTTACCGAAGAGGCCCTCCTCCTGGCCGACCAGGATTACGAATCTCGATGTCGACGTCGAGGATGTATAGCAGGCGCCCGCGGGGTCCGCCGCCTCGCGAACACTACCCCAATGAATCTCCGTCCCGAGGCCTTGCATTACCTCGGTATACGCCTAATGGATCTTCCGACGTCTATTCAGACGAAGCGCTCCGTTCCAGCGTCAATTCGGCAATGACGTCGCGATCAAGCATTGAGCAAGCCAGTGGAACTGAACGCAGCAGTGTCTTGACGAAGAGCAGCTCCATAACTGACCTGTCGCCGGACACTCCGGATGGCCCGGACGAAAAGGATGGCGGGATGAGCGTTGAAGACGCAATTTCCATGTACTTGGATGGATTCAGCGATGTGACGGAGGAGCCAGCTTCACCGGGCTTTGGTGACGACAGCAAAATGCGACCTATCAGTCCATGCCCGCCGACGGAATTCACGTACGACGATGGACATAGCTCTGACGAGAACTCTCCTGACCTCCATCCTTCGAATGACCTGCCGCCGGTCCCACCGCTTCCCGAGTTGACTTCCGTAGAGAGAAAACTACAAGATGAGCAGTTTTTGAAAGAGACCAATGACGAAGAACCCCCAGCAGAGTCATCGAATCAGAAAGAGACCCAGGAAACCCAGGAAACCCCGGCCGTCAATCCGTCGGAGACAAAGGTCCTACTTTCAGGCGTTGTACCTCCTCCCCTTCTGCCGGGGACAGAGCATCGTGATCGGTATGGATTCCGCAAGAAAACGAACTATATCACCCTTGAACAGTACGAAGCTTGGAATGGCCCATATTCAGAGTTTGTGGCGAGCCGGAGACTCAAATGGGCTGAATTACTCAAGGAGAACGGGCTGCCGACGTCCGGACCCACAGTGTTCCCAGCCAAATCGTCCAAGATGAAGCGATTCGTCCGCAAGGGGATTCCATCTGAGTTTCGTGGGGCGGCCTGGTTCTGGTATGCTGGGGGCTTTGATCTCCTCAACCGGAACCCCGGACTGTATGACCGGCTCGTCAAGGAAGCCATGGATTCTCCCAACAACGACGATAAGGAGCACATCGAGCGCGATCTGCATCGGACATTCCCCGATAACCTTCACTTCAAACCCGAATTTGTCGACGAAGCTATGACCTCGGGCACTAGCTCTGGCAGCAGCAACCCGAAGTACAGCTCGGTCACTGTAGAGACTCAGATGATCCAGTCACTCCGTCGCGTTCTCTATGCATTTTCCCTTCATAATCCCAAGGTGGGCTACACGCAATCGCTCAACTTTATCACCGGCATGCTCCTGCTTTTTCTTCCGGAAGAAAAAGCGTTCTGGATGCTGCATATCGTGACGTCTGTGTATCTGCCGGGCACCCATGAGATTAGCCTCGAAGGTGCCAACATCGACCTCTGGATCCTCATGGTCTTACTGAAGGAGTCATTACCCCATATTTACAACAAGATCGCTGGTAATCCTGGCCGGTCGAAGACTCCGGCCCTGACGGTGGACTCTCGGCTTCCGGATATCACACTGGGCCTGACCAACTGGCTGATGTCGTTGTTCATTGGCAGCTTGCCTTTGGAGACGACGCTGCGTGTTTGGGATGTGTTCTTCTTTGAGGGTTCAAAAACGTTTTTTCGCGTATCCCTGGCTATATTCAAGGCCTGCGAGAAAGACATTCTTGCCGTATCCGACCCCATGGAAGTCTTCCAAGTCGTGCAGACGGTGCCGAAGAAACTGCTCGACGCCAACGCATTGCTGGAGGATTGTTTTGTACGGCGACACCGTGTCGGACAAGGTCGCATAGAGGAGTTGAGAGCCTCCCGACGGGCGGCTGTCCGACAGGAGAAACTGAGGCGTTCACTGGCCATCAGCAAGGGTCAGCTCCAGGCTGCCACGGACGAGTGGCCGACCACAAGGTCGCGGACGCCAATTCCTGGGTTGGAACGCAAAGTCGCAGATTCATGGCGTCATATGAGGCAACATGCCTTTAGATGATTCCACGGGCGACCCACGAGCTCGACTAATGATCGGACTCT